ATTGATAATAATACCTGTCATTAATAATAATACCCGTCATTAATAATAATAATACCCGTCATTAATAATAATAATACCCGTCATTAATAATAATACCCGACATTAATAATAATAATACCCGTCATTAATAATTATAATACCCGTCATTGATGATAATACCCGTCATTATCAATAATAATGATACCGTCACTAATAATAATATTACCCGTCATTAATAATAATACCCGTCATTAATAATAATAATACCCGTCATTAATAATAATACCCGTCATTATTAATAATAATTCAGTCAGAATCTGAAACGGCATCAGACGAGGAAGAAGAACAGTACTCATCGGATTCTAATATTAGTGAAATTGATCAGTCAGAATCAGAAAGAAAGCTAGATAATAATTCCACTTCACAATCTGAGGATCAAAGCTTGACTGAAATTAATGAAAATAATTGACCTCCAGAACAAAGACTATAAAAGCATCTGGGGAAACTGGTTTTCAAAATTAATATTCTGCTGTCAATATTATTAGTTATGGACCGCTCCACACTTACACAAATTCCTGGAGAATATCAGGATATTTACAAAAGGAGTTGGAACACAATTAAAACGAGTGTGAGACAGGGTCGATTGAAAGATGTTTACCATTTTCCTATAATTACCACTGATAATAGTGCGGTCTTGAGAAAAGCTGAAGAAGTTGTTGCAAAATACAACGAGAAGTTCAAAGTTAATGTGGCGTTTGGATTTATTCTCAAGGACAGGACTTCAGATGAACTAAAATTCTTTCATCCGTCAAACAACACGATGCTGTTTACACTCTCCCGATTATTAGGTGTAAATTAATCACTAGAAACGATTAAATGAGTCACTCAAGTGATTTATAGGATAAGGACAGCGTGCTGCAGGTGGCACATTATTACTCCATTTTGACCCACTCTATAATTTGGTAAGATCGTTACACTTAATATGTACGATAATATCACAAAAGTACCGTGAGTAATGAACATGACGTAATTATCAAGTTACATCCAGTATAGCTTCCACATGGAACATGATATCACACTAGTTACAAGGACGCCGCCGGTAACATTACGTAATATGCTTACTTTCATTATGTGTACCTCACTTTTTCCCAAAATGGCTATTGAAAAATGCATCATATACTACTCGTATAATTAGTGATGTGATCCATGGATTGAACATAATTGACATGAATCTCGAAAATGGTTGTATCACGTCGTCGCGTGACCCCCATTGTCGTTTTACTAAGTGGCAAAGATACAGCCGCGCACTCGTTTGCGGCAGGTCTACAACGTATGACAAGAAAATGGCGAGCTGGAGGCCAGTCTTACCTAGGTTCTATTCTGATGTATCAAAGTTTTTCATTCACATTATATATGCTGAGCCCCATTTGGGGAAATGAAATGGTTACGGTATAACAGGGTTTGCAGTGAATCGGGGCGAGGTAAATCAGGGTTCCGTTTTACTAGATTGTATTACTTTTTTATGCTAAATTTCTATTGTTCCATAATTTTGTGTTTGATCACTTAATTTAAGACATTTCAGCTTTTGACCATAAATTCGGTGACAAATAAAAGGCGTTAAATGGTCTGCAAATAAAGTGCATGGCATGATTATACTACATCCATTAACAAATACACAAGTAAATATATAACGTAACTTAAACTAGTAATCTAGACTTAATTATATTTTGTCTTATATAAACTCAGACTAGTTATGACTTTATCATACCCTACAACATTTTGAACGTGATGTATATACCAGTAGTATATGATGCATTTTTCAATAGCCATTTTGGGAAAAAGTGGGGCACACACAATGAAAGTAAGCATATTACGTAATGTTACCGGCGGCGTCCTTGTAATTAGTATGATATCAAGTTCCATGTGGAAGCTATATTGGATGTAACTTGATTATTACGTCATGTTCAATGTTCATTGCTCACAGTATAAGTACTTTTGTGATCTTATCGTGTCTCGATCTTACCAGATTAGAGTGGGCCACAGTTAAGTTATAATGTGCCATTATTAATGACGGGTATTATTATTAATGACGGGTATTATTATTATTAATGACGGGTATTATTATTATTAATAATGGGTATTATTAATAATGACGGGTATTGATATCAATGACGGGTATTATTATTAAGACGGGTATCATTATTAATGACGGGTATTATTATTATTAATAATGGGTATTATTAATAATGACGGGTATTGATATCAATGACGGGTATTATTATTAAGACGGGTATCATTATTAATGACGGGTATTATTATTATTAATAATGGGTATTATTAATAATGACGGGTATTATTATTGATGACGGGTATTATTATTATTAAGACGGGTATCATTATTAATGACGGGTATTATTATTAATGACGGGTATTATTATTATTAATGACGGGTATTGTTATTAATGACGGGTATTATTATTATTAATAACGGGTATTATTATTATTAATAATGGGTATTATTAATAATGACAGGTATTATTATCAATGACGGGTATTATTATTAAGACGGGTATCATTATTAATGACGGGTATTATTATTAATGACGGGTATTATTATTATTAATGACGGGTATTATTATTAATGACGGGTATTATTATTATTAATGACGGGTATTATTATTATTAATAATGGGTATTATTAATAATGACAGGTATTATTATCAATGACGGGTATTATTATTAAGACGGGTATCATTATTAATGACGGGTATTATTATTAATGACGGGTATTATTATTATTAATGACGGGTATTATTATTATTAATAATGGGTATTATTAATAATGACAGGTATTATTATCAATGACGGGTATTATTATTAAGACGGGTATCATTATTAATGACGGGTATTATTATTAATGACGGGTATTATTATTATTAATGACGGGTATTATTATTAATGACGGTATTATTAATAATGATGGTTATTATTATCAATGACGGGTATTATTATTAAGACGGGTATTATTATTAATGACGGGTATTATTATTAATGACGGGTATTATTATTATTAATGACGGGTATTATTATTATTAATGACGGGTATTATTATTATTAATGACGGGTATTATTATTAATGACGGTATTGTTAATAATGACGGGTATTTTTATAAATGACGGATATTCTTGTTAATGACGGGTATTATTATTATTAATGACGGGTAATATCATTTTACCGTCATTAATAATAATACCTGTCATTAATAATAATAATACCCGTCATTAATAATAATAATACCCGTCATTAATAATAATAATACCCGTCATTAATAATAATACCCGTCATTAATAATAATACCCGTCATTAATAATAATATCCGTCATTAATAATAATATCCGTCATTAATAATAATACCGTCATTAATAATAATACCCGTCATTAATAATAATAATACCCGTCATTAATAATAATACCCGTCATTAATAATGATACCCGTCTTAATAATAATACCCGTCATTGATAATAATATCCGTCATTAATAATAATACCAGTCTTAATAATAATACCCGTCATTGATAATAATAACCATCATTATTAATAATACCGTCATTAATAATAATACCCGTCATTAATAATAATAATACCCGTCATTAATAATAATAATACCCGTCATTAATAATGATACCCGTCTTAATAATAATACCTGTCATTGATAATAATACCTGTCATTATTAATAATACCCATTATTAATAATAATAATACCCGTCATTAATAATAATAATACCCGTCATTAATAATAATACCCGTCATTAATAATAATAATACCTGTCATTAATAATAATACCCGTCATTAATAATGATACCCGTCTTAATAATAATACCCGTCATTGATAATAATACCTGTCATTATTAATAATACCCATTATTAATAATAATAATACCCGTCATTAATAATAATAATACCCGTCATTAATAATAATACCCGTCATTAATAATAATACCCGTCATTAATAATAATAATACCCGTCATTAATAATAATACCCGTTATTAATAATGATACCCGTCTTAATATTAATACCCGTCATTGATAATAATACCCGTCATTATTAATAATACCCATTATTAATAATAATAATACCCGTCATTAATAATGATACCCGTCGTAATAATAATACCCGTCATTGATATCAATACCCGTCATTATTAATAATACCCATTATTAATAATAATAATACCCGTCATTAATAATAATAATACCCGTCATTAATAATAATACCCGTCATTAATAATGGCACATTATAACTTAACTGTGGCCCACTCTAATCTGGTAAGATCGAGACACGATAAGATCACAAAAGTACTTCCCTGCAGTTTCTTCGCGTTTAAATCGTAAATTCGCGCGCAAAAATTACACTGGCGCGCCTTCCATTAATGATGCATTAGACGCATACATTATTAGCAGCGAGTGTGTTGAACGAACAGTCACTCGCGCCGCGCGCAATGCAACAACGACTAATTTCAAATTATATTTCAATATTAATTTAAACTTCAGTTTTGCAAATTTGGCAATAATTGTTATTTAAATATACAAGTGGTCATTTCATAAACGATTATATTGTTTTATTTAATGGAGCCGACTGTTTGTAATTAATGATTCACGGTAGTTTGTTCTATTTGCTTTTGACAAATATTACGCGTTCAGTATTGATAATTATGGTATTGGCATGATTAATATATTAATATAATTCTTACGCTACACTAGTATATATGGTAGACTAAATAAAGTTTTGGTCACTAACATTGATTGGAAAAATTCCAAAAAATTGAAATAAGACATTTGAAATTTTATTTTTAAATGTAATTCTAGTCAAGTAGTCAAGCCGTGCATCCAAGCTTTATCCAAATTGCAAACTTTGTAAATGTTTGCGGAGTAAATATTTTCGTTTTGAGTATCGAAACTGAGTTTAAGGTAACCACTACCAGTATGTCGAGTCATGCAATGCACTTAAGCTGGTATCTTTCATTAACATTGTTCAATTGCAATTGGATACCGCTGGCACTCGCTGACTTTAAAAAATGTTCAACCAACTCGCAACCAGAAAATAGAGGTAAGACCTTTCGTCTAGACACTTGATGATATTTGTTGTAGCTATCTCCTTTGATACGTGATAATAACAATCTTTCATTCATCGAATAATTTTTGCAGTGAAGACAGGGTAACTACTCGATTATTATTTTTGTCCAGGTGAATTGATCTGAAAAAGAATGCCGTCCAGGATGCATCATTCTCAAAATATGGTTGCTAAAATATGGACTTATGATCTACGGCAGTGGTAAGGGCTCCTAATTTGCTCATGAAACATGACCCGTTCAAATCAAAACAGAAGTCTGCTGTGTAATTATACTATATATCAATGAATAATATTTTTCAGAATGTGATGAAGAGTAGTGGAAATATTTTCTTCTCAAGATGAACTACATTCTGACGTCATGGGATATAGATAATAATACAACAGTTCTGTTCGCCCTCTCCGATCCCTTTGGCTAGGTGAGTTAGTTTAATCTGAGTACAGAGTATTAAATTGTGGGCGATTGTACTATTAATAATAATAATTCTATACAGTTTCATAATTGAAACAATTATGGCCCCTTATTGTGGGCAGAGTATGTGTCTTTGTTGATATGTCCTGGTATAAACTTATCTGAGTGACTGCATTAAAATAATTTTTTGTAATTGCAATTGTACTAGAAACTAGTCGAAAGCATTCAAAATGTAATATCAGCTATAATATCCATGTAATCAAATTGAGGAAGCATAAGAGCGTTTAAAAATATTTTTCTATATTTCTGTGGAAGTAGTTTTTTAAAACCTATATAATGCTCCTATTCTCCGATCCTAGTAACATGATCTTACATAATCAATATGGTCCTGAAAGTTTGATAGGTTGTCTATCACCAGACCTAGGTATTTCTGGGATTTGGTTTCTTCTATGTGAAGACTGCCATCTTCCAAATCAAGAGGGATTGACAGTTTATCAAGATTAGTACATTTGTCGAATACCATGAATGAGGATTTTGAAACATTTCGTCTCAGCTTGTTAATTCTAAGCCATTCATATATGACATCTTTATACTACTTCTACTACATTGTCAGACGAGCCTCAAGTGATATTATCAAAATATAGTGCACTGTCATCTGCAAATAATAAGCCTGTTCTGCTAATCACTAATCTATTGTTATGTAGTAAATTGACATAAATTTGTAAAATAGATACATGAGATCACAACTCAATATAGGATGATAATCATTAATCTTTTTGATGAATAGCATTAAACTTTTCCTTGATAATAGATAAAATAGTCAGATTTTCCTTTTACGGGATAGTTAAGTAACAGTTCATTATTCATATGCAATGATTGATCAATACCTAAATATTCTTAGGAAATATATGAAATTAGTCTTTGTTAGCCTTTTTATTTCTTGACGGTTTCAATGGCTGCTTTCTCTTAGAGTGTTAGGTTGAGTTAGGTGGGCCTGATCTGTCTTTGACTGTGTTGCAACAGATCAGTTTTGGCAGACACAATAAGCATAGCTAAGCACACCTTTCTTTGAGAATTTACATCTCCCGCCACATCTGTTGTCGATATCTTTGTTCTTACAGAAACATGTGACCAACATATTGGACTGGTCTTTGACGAAAGTCGAAAGACCAGTAATCTGGGGATGTGGCCCTTTGGGGATGTGTCGTCTTAGCCAGTGCAATGTTGGTGGCAAGTCAAATATATAATCATTATTTCTTTATTGATAGGCTCTTAACATGTCAAATGTGACAAACTCTGTTGTAAGCTTGAAAAACTTTCACCAAGTATTCCTCAAATTTCTTGATCTGAGCTTCATTTAGTTCTCCTCAAAGCCTGTATGTATATTGTGCTTGTATACATTGGTAAAAATGGGGTCTGACCTAATTATAACTCAAAAACCTGAAGTCTGTAGACATTAAAATCGTGCTCTACCTCACTCAATATGATGATTCTGACCATTTTTATGGCCAAGATGAGCGCTTAGCTAACATTAGAAGCTGAGATATCTTGTAATAAATAAATTAACTACTACTCGCAAGAGCCTAAAATTACGTTTTTATCTTATAACTCCACAACTTAAGGTCTGTAGACTTTAAAACCATGATCTATCCCACTCAATGTGATGATTCTGACCATTTGTATGCCCAAGATGAGCCCTTCACTCTAATCAGAAGCTGAGATATCATGAAATAAGTGTGATAATTGTTACTCGCGAGAGCGTACGCGTAGAAGGGCGTGGTCACATAACTCATCAACCTTAAGCGTGAGGACTTTGAAACCAGGTTCTACCCCCTTAATGTGATGATTCTGATCATTTTCATACCCATGTTGCATTGATCCTCTTTCTCCAATCAGAAATTGAGATATTTGGGTTTATATATTGCCAAGCCAAATTTTATCCTTAGCGGTCCCTTGAGCCGTTCCAGGTCTCTCGGGCGGAAAAATATTCTCAGATCCTTGATTATTCCTGTATCTAAACTGATGGTTGGTGAGCAGTTTATTTGTTTCTCCAGTATAATTAGTATCAGACGCAAAATAGTCGTCATCTTCTCTGCCTCGAGTATAACTCTGGTTATAATTAAACTCAGTTCGTTGTTTTGCGAAGGCTTCAGCGTCTTAAATTTTAAAAGCTTTATCGTCTTTAATTCATCGCAACCCGTCTTTAAATTTGCTGGTAGAAGTAAGGTCAGTGTGAGAAATGTGCTTTATTAACAGTGATGTTAGTTCACCATTTTCTCAAGTAAGTCTTTAAGTTCATTACCGAAGGTTTCCTATTAACAATCTACTCTGCCGTTATTTATATTTATGGGCCATTATTTGTGAGCCCCAAGTGTTTTGGTCCCTCATTCCTGCCACTTCAGCATTGCCTACTGTAAAGTAGAAATTTTTCTAAGACAATATAGAAACTGACCTTGTCTCACTGAATTTCCCTAAATTCAACCACTTGCACTTGCCATAATAAAAATACTAACAACCAAATAAAGTTTTTTAAATAATTATATACAATCACCAACGAACATTTCCTCAAGTTTACCTCTAGTTAACTAATTCGTGGTTTAAGCTCTTATTTTATTTAGGGTATTTATGATTAAAAGAATGTAAAATAAAACTTATTGTTTCATTGTATTATTAAATAGCTCTGCTCCGATATTAAACTTGCGCCTAATTTACATCTAGTTCTTCCCAAGCTTGTTTCTTTGATTGAAGGCAAGTTAGTTTAATAACCCAATAAGATACTAGATTTTATTAAGCGCCATTATTTCGAATCTAATGAGTTTAAATTAATCCTTTCCTTACATGGTTCTCAGGTTATAAATGGTAGTACAGTGTATGGCGACACATTCTGGCGGTATTGGAATACTCCAACAGTTCTTGCTGTCTCCCTCTTGGGTGAGTTATTACTTATTACACAATACACATGTAGGAAACAAGGATACTGAAGTGATAATAACCGTATTGAATACACAATAGCAATATTTTTGAGATAGTTGAGTGTTAAAAGTGCAAAGAATCACCGGTTAAATGTGGAGTTACGATGCAATTATCACACACAGGGTTAATTCTGACTAAGTATTTTAGAATGATGAATGTTATATGAATATCAACGGAATGATTGTAACAATGAACTCTATCAATCACAATTATATCATGCTAACTAATATTTAGAGAATTTAGATGGTTAAGGGTGCCATAATGAGTCAAAAGTCACATAAATGAGCATGTATTGAAATTATGCTGTATCAGGGGAATGTATCACTTTTTGGCTCTATATCAGGTTGGTATTCATAGTAAATCTGCAGTAATTTGTTGTGACACTTGTTTATGGTCATGGAGAAGTTCGTTATTAGAGTAATAGTGGAATCAATAATCACAAAACACTGATTTTAAACGGAGTAAACTAGGCAAGTACTTCAGTTCATCCATTGCGCTTCTTTTCAGCTGTTCAAAATAGGAACCACCATTAAGGGTTACACTTGTCCTAGATCAGAGATGCAGTGATTCACTAACTTGGTTTGAGTGGTGCTATAGGACCAATATTAACTCTTTCCGACCAATTTTGAACTGTTCTGAGCACTTTTAGGAAAATATTCATTTTAGTTCATTTCGGTTCATTCCATGAACCTGGTTAATTTTACGCGACTTCAGATGACTAATAAGCCTAGCTTGTAACTACATCTATCTTAGAAAACCGAATGGAGGCTTAACTGATTACTTCCCAGCACTCCGATACAGCCAACACTCCGATGTCCCAATGTCCCAAATTGATGGATTTATCTTCTGAAACTAGCAAATTTCTCAATTTCGTGTTGAAAATAAATTTTTTTAGCCACACTTTGACAGAAAGGCTGGCGCGAGCGCGCCATTTACATGTACAACTGCACACGCGCGTTCGCTTGATCAAATCTAGACAGAGCATCTTAACCCCCCGTATGCTATTTATGTTCCCGGGTAGGTGGTACATGTTTAAGTGGTTGAATAACTAGTACCTGTCCCAAAGCATCACTAAAATCAAGTTTGAACCTCTCAACCCACTCAGGCCACTCCTAGGAGCCACGCCCATCCCAAAATAGCTGAAATCCAGGTCAAATCAAGCCTGAGCATCTTGACTCCCGTATGCGATTTATGTTCCGGGGTAGGTGGCACATGTTTAGGTGGTTAAATAGTTAGTACCTGTCCCAAACCATCATAAAAACCAAGTTTCGATCTCACAACCCACTCTGTCCACTCCTAGGAGCCACGCCCATCCCAAAATAGCTGAAATCCAGGTCAAATCAAAACTGAGCATCTTGACTCCCGTATGCGATTTATGTTCCGGGGTAGGTGGCATATGTTAAGGTGGTTAAATAATTAGTACCTGTCCAAAACCATCATAAAAACCAAGTTTCGATCTCACAACCCACTCAGGCCACTCCTAGGAGCCACGCCCATCATGAAATAGCTGAAATCCAGGTCAAATCAAGACTGAGCATCTTTACCCCAATATGCGATTTATGTTCCGGGGTAGGTGGCATATGTTTAGGTGGTTAAATAGTTAGTACATGTCCCAAACCATCATAAAAACCAAGTTTTGACTTCTCAACCCACTAAGGCCGGAAGCGACGCCCATCCCAAAATTACTGAAATCAGGTAATCAAGGTTAAATCAAAATAGCTAAAATCTGGAAACCCCTGTACTAATCATTTTAATATGAGACTTTATAAGACAATTCAATTTCTTTCAGGGAGTTGCAGTCAAGTTGTACCAAGGATTTTCTACGATGAGATGAGAATACCTTACCTCTGATATTCTCTGATATCATATCAAAATGTTAATCTGTTTTTATGTGAGACAATGTTTTATTTTTCAAAGAATGCGTTTATTTGTAAAGTACAAAATGAATTACAATTAGTAAAATGTTATCTCCATATGGTTGCTTCTAACTAGTTATCCTACGGTTAACCATTTTTTATTGTATTATCACTAGAAAGTTGTTTAAATACTTGTTTCGGATAAGAAAATGTGAATTTGGGTCAGGGTCGGATTCGAACTCTAGTGATCATGTGAAGATATTACGCTTAGCGAACTTAGCTGTTAAGTAGATGAAGCAAATACAATTTTAACTATCACATTAACGTGCACGCGCATTCCCTACGCAAAGTTATTCTATGACGGTGCACATTTTTAGCCATTTTGGGGCCACTGCGCGGCACGAAAGCTCTAAACCTTCATAACTCTGTCCAGGAACAGACCCCAGAGCTGATTAATGTTGCGATGTCCGAGTCTGAGTGTGTACTTTAAGATGTTATATGATTTGTCATACCTGCGTTCACACAGTGGCATCGCAAATGGGTATAGTCGCGAACGCAAAGAAACCGCAGGGTTATACTGTGAGCAATGAACATTGAACATGACGTAATAATCAAGTTACATCCAATATAGCTTCCACATGGAACTTGATATCACACTAATTACAAGGACGCCGCCGGTAACATTACGTAATATGCTTACTTTCATTGTGTGTGCCCCACTTTTTCCCAAAATGGCTATTGAAAAATGCATCATATACTACTTATACGTCGCTAATTGGTGACCTCTTGGGGGCTAGATCAGTTTCCTTACCCAAAGTCTCCCAGTGGCCGCATGCAGCGCGCGAGGGTTGCTTGCGGAGATGTGATACAATCTCAATATAGCAGCAAAATGTTTATTATATATATAAATGTGTATATAATAAATAGTTGTCGTTTGGTTTCCCAAAGAGAGTGCTCGACTGCAGTTAAGCAGGAGCATTATAATTCGAACAATTGAAACAAATCAAATTGGCGGGCAAACGATCCGTTTCATGATATGTATAAAAAACAATACCAATCATCGGTGCCAAATAGAATTATGAATTGTAGCGCTATGACATGTTGCTCCTTTATAAAATAATTTGTATCGATCATGAAACATTTTCAAAATTATCAAAATATACAACATTTCCAAAAAACAGTTTATTGTGTCCGTCCAAATTTTAAAATTGTCTATGAAGTAAGGTAGTAAGATATCTTTGGCTTTTAAAGTTGTAAACTGCGTTGGTCTTCGTGTAGTGGTAGAGGAAAATTCTAATAATAATGCTCCTGCTTAACTGCAGTCGAGCACTCTCTTTGAGAAACCAAACAACAACTATTTATTAGCTATGCTCCTTCGACTCGTCGTTGTTGAGCACTCTCGTTTGATAACCAGAATCAACAATTAACTCTCAAATACGGATCCTAATTTTACCAGCATCACGGAACTCAGTAAAGAATTTTCCTCTACCACTACACGAAGACCAACGCAGTTTACAACTTTAAAAGCCAAAGATATCTTACTACCTTACTTCATAGACAATTTTAAAATTTGGACGGACACAATAAACTGTTTTTTTGGAAATTTTGTAAATTTTGATAATTTTGAAAATGTTTCATGATCGATAAAAATTATTTTATAAAGGAGCAACATGTCATAGCGCTACAATTCATTATTCTATTTGGCACTGATGATTGGTATTGTTTTTTATACATATCATGAAACGGATCGTTTGCCCGCCAATTTGATTTGTTTCAATTGTTCGAATTAAGGGGGGGGGGGTTCACCCTGATTTTTTTGTGAAACTTGGTTTCGAGATAGCAGTTGACCAACAAACTAGGACCAGTGACCGAACTTTTGAGGGGGTCCCGGACCCCAACCGCCAAACGGTGCCCGCGGGACAGCCACGCCCATATTTGGTCCAAATTAGGCCCAATTTAGCCAAATACCCTGAACATGCCCAAAATCCAGATTTTAGGTGCTCTACTTGTAGCTAGTGGTTCCTTGAGCTCGTATATCAATTTTCATCAAGATCGGACAAAAAATGACTGAGTTATGAGCAAAAAACCATATGACCATATTTGGGCATACGCACCAAATTTGATCGATTTTGGCCCATAAATTGGTCAAATTTCAACATTTTTGAATGAAACCAACTTTATATGGAAGGTAAGCCTATACTACACATTATCTATGATTATCAGCTCAGTATCTACCTAATTGTGGATTCTATGTTCAAATAATCGCAAAAAATGAACAAAATTGCCCATATCTCAGTTCGCGATATTTGCAAAACTGACTTCGCTCAAAACAATAGAACTCAATAGGGTTTCAAAATTTTTTCATGAAATTTTCAGAATCAACGTAGAATTGTCTCATGACCTTAAGTTTTGGGACAGAATTTTGAGTTAGGCCTTTAAAAATATTTGGCGGCCAAATTCCAAAATTTACACTGCTAAATTTAGAATTTGGCCGCCAAATTTTTTTAAAGGCCTAACTCAAAATTCTGTCCCAAAACTTAAGGTCATGAGACAATTCTACGTTGATTCTGAAAATTTCATGAAAAAATTTTGAAACCCTATTGAGTTCTATTGTTTTGAGCGAAGTCAGTTTTGCAAATATCGCGAACTGAGATATGGGCAATTTTGTTCATTTTTTGCGATTATTTGAACATAGAATCCACAATTAGGTAGATACTGAGCTGATAATCATAGATAATGTGTAGTATAGGCTTACCTTCCATATAAAGTTGGTTTCATTCAAAAATGTTGAAATTTGACCAATTTATGGGCCAAAATCGATCAAATTTGGTGCGTATGCCCAAATATGGTCATATGGTTTTTTGCTCATAACTCAGTCATTTTTTGTCCGATCTTGATGAAAATTGATATACGAGCTCAAGGAACCACTAGCTACAAGTAGAGCACCTAAAATCTGGATTTTGGGCATGTTCAGGGTATTTGGCTAAATTGGGCCTAATTTGGACCAAATATGGGCGTGGCTGTCCCGCGGGCACCGTTTGGCGGTTGGGGTCCGGGACCCCCTCAAAAGTTCGGTCACTGGTCCTAGTTTGTTGGTCAACTGCTATCTCGAAACCAAGTTTCACAAAAAAATCAGGGTGAACCCCCCCCCCTTAAATGTGTATATATATATATATTAAAGTTTATCTTCCTATTAATTATGTTACGACTCACCATAGTTACAGTCATTTTCCGCAGTAGATCCAGCAGACGAAATCTTGTCACCAGGGCAACTAGTACAAAAGGAAGCTCCAGCGCCACTGAAAGTGTTCTCTTTGCATTGCTGACATCCACTGCCTGTCATGTAGTTTCCAGCCGTGCATGGTGCTGAAAAAGTTGTTTTGTGCTTCCATTAAAAAATTTTCGTTAAATCAATTTGGACCTGACTTAAATTTCATTATAAACCATAGCGTAGGTCGGGCTCACAATACGATTCTTTAACATTGTTCGTAAATCTTGAGTGGATTTTAATCTTGATATTAATTATGTTGTGACTCACCATAATAACAGTAATTTTCTGAAGTAGATCCGGCGAGCGAAATCTTATTGCCAGAGCAACTAGTGCATGAAGAAGCTCCAGCGCCACTGAAAGTATTCTCTCTGCATTCTTGGCATCCACTGTCTGTCATGTAGCTTCCAGACGTGCATGGAGCTGTAAAACAAATCGAATATTCACACTTTCGTGGACGATGAAAGATGTTGTATGAATGTGACAGGAGATTATTTGAAATCTGAGAAAGCGTTTCGTTTTTCTTTGCGCAAAATTAGCTTTTAAAACATCAATAAAATTAAAGTTTTCTTACCATAATAACAAGCATTTTCTGAAATAGATCCAACAGGTGATACCTTTCCATCAGGACAACTTGTGCAAGAAGATGCTCCAGCATCACTGAAAGTGTTCTCTTCGCATTCCTCGCATCCACTATCTGTCGAGTAGCTTCCAGCCGAGCATAGACCTGCAAAATTAGCTAATCTATAATAATTGAACAATAATCGGATTTATTTTGTTAATTAAGAACGAAGAAGAAAAGATGAACACTTCGACAATCAAAAGTTTATGTTCTATTAAACTTACCACAATCATCGTTGTCAAGGCACAGGATCCTGTAAGATATCGGCATAGCTGATCTCATCTGAACACTTTTAACCTTCTCCCCAAATATTTCATCACAAGTTTCCAGTATCAGGCTGCTTCCTTTCACAATTCTCCCTAATTCGACCCCATTGCAACGTAGCACAATCATATCCTGACCGGTCTCAATTGTCCAAATTCTGGTGGATTCTGTGTTTTCTTGCGCCTTGGGAATGCTCATAAGGATAGCACCCTCGTGACATGGCGTTATGAAGAAAAAAGCAGTAACCTCCCAAACTCCAATGGCTATGTCCCCAATCTCTTCTCCGTCCAAATTCAGTAGAGCGAGGGAAAAATTGCTTTTTTCTGGCATGTCAAATACAGTTTTAAGTTGAAGTGGTGCCCCAATAAAGTCAAATGCAAGAGGGTCTGTTGAAAACTTTTCGAACTTCTGATCATCAAACTTAGAAAAATCCTTAAAATCTGGCTCTGGTTTTAGCAGGTCTGTGTCATTTGCTATTCTGGGCACTAATCTAAACTTGTCAGTACTGCTTGGGTTCATTTCGCCACTGTAATAAAAGAATGCGTTCTTAAAATATCTTTCAACCGTTGGTCTGCACAGATCCATGGCAATGTCTGAATCATACTGGAAGCTCAACAAATGTTCCCCATTCCTGAGCACGGATGCATAATCCTTGTGGAATGTTAAAGTAGCCGAAAAATAATTCTCTGATTCATCGTAAGAGGAATGGTAGGGGAGAGGGATCCAGTATTCGGTACAATTTCTTATCCACACCCAAAACTGTGTCTTGCCATGATAAAGCACTACCCGCTGAAACTCATCAAACTTTTCCTCACTTTCATAAAACCCGATTATATTCATCAGATCACTGTTTCTGCCATCTTCAGTTGTAAATTGCATGGACAACTCAGTTACATCCCACTGGAACTCGGTGTAGTAGCTCTCTATAGGCCTCCACAGATCAATATCCACACACTCATCCAGACATAGAACCCTGAACCCATCAGAAGCAGTATCGTACTGTGAAGGGAACTTTATCCTGTCCAACTTGCCATTTCCCAGGACGGAACTGCACCCAGTTTTCACAGCACTGCTGCCTGCTACTACTCTACCAAACTCCTTACCATTACAACGGAATATAACCCTGTTTGCAGTGTCGAAGTCAAATGTCCACACCCTATCCCCGTTAACATCTGCGTCAGGGAGCGGGAACAAGATAACATTCTCAGTACACCCGTCCAGGTAGTAGTAAGGTGCAGACTCGAAAAAGTAGATCTCGATGTAGGAGTATGCTACATTTGAATTTCTTTTGTAGATGTCCAGAACTATACCAGATTTAATGGCCCTTTCCCCGCGGGTGATTATCTGTAGGGATGTCTGTAGCACGTCGTAGTGTATAGCTGTGTCCCTCACCATAGCAGAAAAAGATAGTTTATCATATTGGGAATAATCCTTAACGTAGGTAGAATCGGGTTCTTTGTCAAGTTTGTCATTTTTGGGTGATGGCATTATCTTAAACTTGTCAGTTGCTGTGTCCTCAGCTGCAAACTTTCCCGTTGACGAAATTCCTTTTACTGCCTGTGAAGTAAAATGTTAAGATCTGATTTTTACTTTTAATACAAATCTAAGAAACACGTAATATAAGGTTCAGCTGTCATTGATGAAAAACATTATGCAAACGTATATTTACATCGAGGCAGGAGTCCATTGTGATCCCTCCTTTATACTCTAAATTCCAAAGAATCTCTTCATTCCCAACAACAGACATGTAATCATCATTGAAAGTGATCATGTATTCAGTGTCTTGCGTCGACGTATATGAAGAAGGGTAATTCATACCAACGTAATACTCTGTGCAGTTGTGCACCCTGAGGTAAGAAGAGCTTTAGTCTGATGAATACTTCGAGGTGATAAAATTAAACAATAAGTCGATGGTTAAAACTGCAACCAGTCGGTGTGTATTATTGTCACCTAAGTTCAAGGTCTATTAACTTTATATTCTGGTATTTTACTCATATATATTACATAAAGCACCAAGACTAACCTAATATACACCTCGACAGCTCCGAATCTCATTTCAAACCACATCGGCTCTCCAGCAGTCTTGTGACTTAACTCAACGTACACCGAATACCAACTCCCCTTGAAGCCAGCTGCCTGTACTACAAGGGACGAGTCCGTGTAGTCCCACGAGAAGGATGTGCTGCCAGGGACGACACTGATCCAGCCTTTATCATCGGGAGTGTCATCATCCTCCTCCTCCTTTTCTTTACATCCCTCGTCTTCGTCAGAAGCATCACGGCACTCTCCAGTGCTCCCTTGCACGTTGTCGCACACATCATCCTCCCTGGGAAAACACATTTATTTTGATGTTTGTCTTTTAGACTGCAGTAAGGTTCGGATATAATGAGACTAGCAATCGTTAAATGGTTGGATTTGTCATCATTCAGTAAATATTAAATAATGAAGCTAAAGAGGGAACAAGACTTACCTGATGCAGTACAGCTCGTCCTCACAGGCCCAGAACCCATACGGGCACCTCAAGCTAGTGGAGACCACGTCGGAAGGAGGAAGGATAGCACTGTACCGGATATCAACACTTCCGAACAAATCACCTGTGAAGATTATCAGTGTCGAAATATAATGTGCAACTAGAGTGCGTCGTGGATCCATCAATACAAATTTTCTTCTAATTATGTACTTATCTTTCATTGCTATGTATTGATTATATTCCTTTATGTTCAATTAAGGTGCATGCCAGTCTCTACTCAGAAAGGTTTCAACCATCCTAGATGTTAACTCACCTCTATCATTAGTCTGCATAACCACTGTCAGTCCCTCAAAGGAGGAGGACACTATCCCTGTTAGCTCCTCATCTCTCGTTAACATGGCTATCATCTTATCCTCCTCTATATCCGCTCCATCGTACACAAGAACAAAGTGGTTATTGGGTATGTTGTTGAGGGTGACATCCGCTTGAACCTTGAGGTAGGATGATGAGGTGTAGAGGTTAGCTCTCCTAAACAGGAAGTGCCTCATGTCCTTAAACTCCAGATCTCGGTACGCATTGTAGTAAGCCCTGGATCTCTGTAGGTAGGTGGACTCCATCATGCCCATGTGCTCCCTGATCCAGTCTCTGTAGTAGAACACGTTAGTGTGGATGTCGGGTCCAGCCACCTGCTCCTGAGAACTTGACCAGCTCACCAGGGCTAGCTGCGTGAAGCTGCCGTCAGTGTTCTTTTTAAAGAGTGCACTGCCAGAGTCTCCACTCCATATATGGGCATACTTATCTCCTCCCTCTAACAGTACCCTATCAGTACACGCCATACCATCAGTGATGTCCATACGGCGGTAGTACCAGAACCTCTTACACATCACTCTGTTGGAGAACTTAGATTCCATCTTCCGTAGTACATTAGCTGATGCTCCACCCTCAATACTCCCCCATCCTGCTACAGTCACTGTTTTCCCCTCGTTCATCAACTCCGCATCCCCTGATTCTGGCACCTTGATTACCCCCACACCGTTACCAAAGTCAATGTCTTCTGCGAGCACCACCATGGCGATGTCGTTAGCGAGGGTGTCCCCGTTGTCGTAGTCAGGATGGACGATGACTCCTTCAGCTCTGTACGTTCTTTCGTTTCTGTTAGTGCTGCTTGAGTGGTCTCCGACTTTTATCTGCGGGAGTGTTACTGTGCTGATTTAATGAGAACAATGTTATTAATCAAATATTTCATTGATGTTATATTTCATGGACATGAGGATTGCGAAAAAATGTGGGTATGTTTTAAGTTTCTCATCGAGATAATTAATTTCCTTATTAGGTTAAAGATACAGAGCCGAACATCTTATTCTAACTTTCCAAGATTTACGAAAGAGAAGATAAAACAAGGTCACATAATTATATTGCAGGATTATAATGACCTCATATCGATAGGGATTCTCGAGTTCGTGCCAGTTTTCTCTGCCGACTACCACGCAATGAGCAGCTGTGAGAATGAGTCTTTTAGAGATGATAGACCCTCCACACATACCATAGCTGGCTCTACTACCGGAAGAGTAGTACTTCTTGTTTACGCTCACTCTCGCCTGGTAAAGGGGGGTGTGAGCATTGACTGTATAGCAAGATAAATAGGGAATTGGCCGGGTGGTATACTGTAATACGGGGGAGGGAGGGGATTAACCTGGTATCATCTGAACTTTCTCGTCCCAATTGATGGAGCTCTTATTTGTATTCTTACCCATCATGGATTATCTTAATTTAACCCGGACGCTGTATTGGGTATAAATCAACACTTTTGATCGAGCAAATAATTTTGATGCTCACCATGAAAGGGAATTCTCCCTCGGTAGCATCGTCTCCGTACCAAATCCTCGATGAAGCGTCATCACCCTTCTCCACGTCATCACCCCCCTCCACGTTGTTCATGTCGTCGAACTTACTCGTATCTCCGAACCCAATAGCAGGAAGTCTCGAGGGCACGTATATTTCGTTCATATTGCCTCTCTCAATTGACTCTTTGTGTTCCTGATATGAGTCGTTGGTAACGAGTAACAAGTAATTTAATTAACTGTAATCACGTTATAACTTTAGTTTAAGATATGTCAATAACCCGATCATTTCGAGTAATTATAGAGAATCAGAAATGTGTAAGTGATTAAGAAAATGAATCTCTTATCATTTCAGATACTTACCATCATTGTGATATTTATGGCTGATGAAACTGGAGCACGCTCAGCTTGTAATTTTGCCAACGACTTTGGTTCATTTTTCAAGAGGGTCTGAAATTAGCATAAATACAGATTCTACCGAAACGATTACCTAAATCATCAACTATCATTTATTTGAATTTGCAAACAGTTCCATTTGTTTGATAACATCTATTTATCTTCCAACGGTTTTGTTAGACTAACATTGTACATGCTTTTCCTAAAGATCCAGCTACAGTACACATGCTCACCGCTTAGCTGCCACTATCTCAGGGTACAATCTCAGTATATTGGCTGTTATCATAGAACCAGACACCAGTACCGCTGTATACTGTATTACTGTATAGTGTATACTGTAATATACCTACTGTACTGTAAACACAGAACGCCCCCAGTTGTATTTCCTTGTTTAGGTAAGTAACTAGACGTACAGCAAACATTTCACTTCCCTTTACCTAACTGCAGGTTCAACAACCTGACTAAACCAAACCTGCTTAAACCAATTACCAACCTGACTAAAACTGTTGGACCCAACATTATAACAAACAGTTCTCCTAACCTCCCCAGAACAAGCAGCTGAGTGTCAATAACTACCTGATGAGCTGGCCCATTGTATCTATCCGTTTCCTCTTTGATCTTCCTATTTATGTCATCTAGGTCTGGGAGGTTCTCACTATTCAGGAGAACTATCTGGAACAGAACTAGAAAACTGGATCTTAACAGTGCGCTGTTTACCTGGGAAGATTTACAGTTTCGAAACTAAGATGTTTGTTGAAACTTGAATGCCCCTCTATCATTTATCAAGTTCACTATCGGTAAAAGTCCTAGTTCACTTGTTAGGGATTGTTTAATTGAATTGTACTTACCATTCAGATAGTAAGATGGGTCAATTGAAATACACTTTTCGGAATTGTGTTAGTAGATTAACTTAAAGCGAGTAAGTTCCTTTTCTATTCTTTACCCTATTCAGACAGCTGTGATGGCGAATAAAATTAATTTAACTTTCAAACCTTAACAGGATTCAGGTCTGTAAATGTACAAGATTTGTAAATTAAATTAAAAATAGGAACCAAATACATGACACATTATACGGAGTAAAATGGATAAAGAAAGAGAAGTCAACCGAAATATTTTAAAGTGTAGAACTAGACTGAATAGAACAATGTAAAATGAAAAATATATCGCAGTGCAGTGGGAGATACGGGAGCATTAATCATATCATTATGACATTAATAATGATATGATTAATGCTTACACGTGACAAGGACGATATTAAGCTGAACTATGAAAGAAGTGTCAAATAAAGGGAGAATTTAAGAGATAACTGAATCTTAGAGACGACTGGCATTACTGTCAATCTCGAAGTCTGAATTGTGCAAGTGCAATTTAAACAAACCCTAGAAATACTGTAAGTTTCTCACAATGCTGAATTCCACGAACCTAGATTCAAGTGTGACGCACCTTATATACTCAGCAATTTGCACAATACAGGCTGGTGAGCGCTAAATTAACTGAAAAAGTGGAGAAACGAACTACAAATCAACAAAAAGGACTGAGAGGAGAAATGTACAAAATGTTCTGCCTAAAGTGGAGCAGACTTCAGACGAGTATTTGATGTTTTAATTCTGGCCCAACCTGTTTCAGTTGCATGGTGAAAAGCGTACGCTGGAAAGCATTTATATTCAACCGACAATAGTTATGAACGCAATATTGGAGGAGTACGTGAAACGAGGACAGTGATCAAGAGCTCAACCGACGAAAACAAAATTATCCTAGTGTTTATAGACTAAAATAGGAAGCCAATTTAGAAATTCCTTGTTTTATGTGTCGTCATGATTAGTCATAGGAACGTCGTAAATGAAATTTGTTGTCATTGAAACGTCACAAAGTTATGCGTTATGACTTATGATTTGTGTGCTGGATTGATGATGATTCCGATTAATGCTGTATTTGCGCTTGTTTCCACTACCCTAAGATAAATCGTATATTAATCTAAAGCAAATTAAAGATTGAATTATTGCAACTGAATAATATCCACAAAGACTAATATTATTCTTGATCCTTGTAACACTATGGTCCTATCATTGTAGAAATAGATTTTCGAATATACTTGCCCACAGTACTGCAGGATGGCCTGAAAGTTATCTTCTCTAACCCTAATGACTTAACGAGGCCTTGATACTGATTCTACATAAAGATTTCAAGTAGAAGACACAAAACGATAAACTTGATTACCTGAATAAACACTAAACAGTGCCAGTATGTGACCCGGACTAAGGAATTCTCTAACAATATATTTCTTGTCAGTAACAAGTTATAATGAACAAGCTTTTCTCAGTAAAGAGTGTTTGATCAACTCGAACACAAGACGTGCACATAACATTTGATTAGACTATTTGATTAGAATATAACCGATGACCGATAACAGTGTTTACAATGATAAAATAGTAGTAATATGTTGAATGGAATCGGACGAGATTTAGAATCCTCCAAAGTGCAAAAAAAACTGAAGTAAAATAGTACGTGAGAGCAATCAACTGATTTTATAAAATAGTACATGCTTATCGACACGCGAAATGTTTTGTATCGCCGTGTTATTTGTTAACTCATGTTGGCATTATTAAAATTAACTAATCGCTGTCTTTCGGTTACCGATGACCTTTGTTCAGCGGACTCAAAAGCGGAAGGAGCTAACGACGATGTGATTTGACGGAAAGATGAGATCATAAAAAGCATGAGCTCCATCCTAATCTTTCACTTTCGCAATATCGTCAAATTGTCATGCTTGCAAAAATGCAGCTAATATTTGATATGTATATCAATTATTTAAAATGTTCGCTCACGTCGGATGTCCGCAAATAAAAAGTATCGACAATTATTATGTTTCGTTATTAAAGCTTTCACAGAAACATTCAAAATTTGCAGTACTAACATTATTCATTAATAGTATTGGAAACAGAGTTGTGGTTGGGGTCGGGGTCAGGGTCGGGATCAAGGTCGGGGGTAATTCGTGCACCAATGTTTGTCCTATGCGCGGCGACGAAAAGGAGACTGTCTCACACTTTCTTGGACAGTGCCCGGCTATTGCCCAAATAAGAGGGCAATATTTCCAGGACTATTAACTTTCCGTCAATGACATATTTGAAAACCAACACATCTCCACTATTGTCAATTTTTTGCAAGCCGCACCGGGAAGAGGAGCTGGACCAGACCGGTGTGACATATAGTAATCATATAGACTACTCACATGTTGTCTTAGCTCATCTTCCTTTTCCACACCCAGCTGGCACTTTCTTTGTGATTCATTTCTCCTCATAACACAGTAACACCATCCTCCACTATTCACTTTGATTTCTCCGGCAACCTCCACCAGGGCTGCCGTACCCCAGGGTCAGGCAGAGCATCCACATGCTATCCTCTCGTGGGCCATCCAGGCCAAGCCTCTCTTCAACAACAAAAAAGGGTCGGCGGTCCGGGTCGGCGGTCCGGGTCGGCGGTCCTGGTCCTGGTCCTGGTCCTGGTCCTGGTCCTGGTCCTGGTCCTGGTCCTGGTCCTGGTCCTGGTCCTGGTCCTGGTCCTGGTCCTGGTCCTGGTCCTGGTCCTGGTCCTGGTCCTGGTCCTGGTCCTGGTCCTGGTCCTGGTCCTGGTCCTGGTCCTGGTCCTGGTCCTGGTCCTGGTCCTGGTCCTGGTCCTGGTCCTGGTCCTGGTCCTGGTCCTGGTCCTGGTCCTGGTCCTGGTCCTGGTCCTGGTCCTGGTCCTGGTCCTGGTCCTGGTCCTGGTCCTGGTCCTGGTCCTGGTCCTGGTCCTGGTCCTGGTCCTGGTCCTGGTCCTGGTCCTGGTCCTGGTCCTGGTCCTGGTCCTGGTCCTGGTCCTGGTCCTGGTCCTGGTCCTGGTCCTGGTCCTGGTCCTGGTCCTGGTCCTGGTCCTGGTCCTGGTCCTGGTCCTGGTCCTGGTCCTGGTCCTGGTCCTGGTCCTGGTCCTGGTCCTGGTCCTGGTCCTGGTCCTGGTCCTGGTCCTGGTCCTGGTCCTGGTCCTGGTCCTGGTCCTGGTCCTGGTCCTGGTCCTGGTCCTGGTCCTGGTCCTGGTCCTGGTCCTGGTCCTGGTCCTGGTCCTGGTCCTGGTCCTGGTCCTGGTCCTGGTCCTGGTCCTGGTCCTGGTCCTGGCCCTGGTCCTGGTCCTGGTCCTGGTCCTGGTCCTGGTCCTGGTCCTGGTCCTGGTCCTGGTCCTAAAACTGCAGATACAATTGTGCTAGAGTATTTTTAGTATATACGATCGATATCAGGTCTAAATCCCTACATGCTTCCAAAATTTTTTAATCTCCTACTTTCTGCACAATGTACTGGAATGTTTTGGAAAAAAAAAGAAAGTGATATAATATGTAAAATCAACGTTTTAATGTTAGGAAGGTAAAATTAATTCTTTGGTTTCTTAATTCAGCTTTAAAGAAAATCAAAGTATGTAGGGTTGATACCAAACCGATTATTGAGCGATGATAGCTAAATAGTTGGTTCCTGGGATACAGAGTCCTCCTGATTCCTCAGTCAATGAGTGTGGTTGTTGTTCTTGTTCAGTTCTGTCCATATTTCCTCGTGTTATGTTCAAAGTTTTGGAGTGTCATTTTGTCCTAAAATTATTTGTTATTATAATAGGTATGGTAACTATTAATTTGTACAGCTAAGAGCGTAAAATAGGGTCGGGCTAATTAACTCAACAACCAGATGTCTGAGGACTTTGAAACCATACTTTACCCAACTAATACTTAATAGTCTGGATTTTGGACATCAAGTTGTCCAAGTTTAGCACCTAAGTCCTAACTGTAATCAGTAGTCGAGTTATTTTGATTTTCTCTAATATCGCTACAGGCGAGAGCGTAAAAATAGCTTTTGGTCTATTCTTCTTCTGATTGGTCAACGTCGACTGTAAGCCTTCCTTACGGTGCCTTTCACAACGCATCCCTATGTCTCCAACTCCTGCTGCTAGAGAGAAATGCTCCCAAGGTATATATTACCATATTCATATTAAACATAGATATCGACAACAGACTCCGAGAGTCTTGAAGTTCTGTTACCACCACACCTGGTGCAACCCCGTCAGGTTAAAGACGGAGAGACAGGGACTTCCAGGGGAGGTCATGGCCTGCTACGTGCCACTCGTAGGAGTATGCAGTGTTCCTGTAACGTCACTGTAGACTGCAGCTCCTTTATCGTTGTTTTAAGAGGCCGCGATCCAAAACCAAATCCTGGAGTTACATGCGACGTGGAAGCCTGTGAGCGTGTAGACCGCTCCTCTATCGTTGTTTTGAATGTCCAATCCAAAACCGGATCCTATGGTTACAAGAGACGTGGAATCCTATGAGCGTGTTAGATTCCTGCGGTTACACGAGACGTGGAAGCCTGTGAGTGTGTTAATATTCTAAAATGAGCGTTGAATATTCAGTTTGCAGTTGTAAAATCCGTATACGAGCCACCAAATTGTTCAAAATTATCTGGTGTTCTAGGCTAATCCAAGAACTCGTGAGGCCAGGAAATGTGCGAAACAAAAGGTTTGAAGGCAAGGAAGGTTGCTGACCGCCCTCTTTACGTTTTCTATCCTTCTAAGAGCCCTAGGGGATTAGCATAATAAAGTAATAATTTCATAGCCTCGCCTACCCAAGCTGCGAGATTACTCGCATTGCATTATTGAAAACGCCAACTTGGAGCTGTTACTTCGACAAAAACTGGCTTTTCTAGATGGTGAAAGTTGCAAGCCTTTGGTCTATTTGTAAGCTTTTGGTTTATTAACTCGACAGCCTGATGCCTGATGACGTTGAAACTAGGCTCTACCCAACTCAGTATGATCATTTTACTGCCCAATCGCAACACGCGACAGTGTAAAAATAGGTTTTGGCCTAATATTGTATTGTATCAGATGCCATCGTGAGTAGGTGGTCTCCTGCACCTTTTCCGTCTCGACATAAAAGAAAAAACCTAGACATGT